GCGGGGTTGGTCATTGTAAGGAGGTTTGATGTAGTTTTTTTTTTTTTTTTTTTTGTTATTTTTATATTTTTTTTTCAAAGTTTTGTTCTTGTTGGACTTTTGACATCCGTATTCCTTTCAAGAGTTCAGCGGGGTTGGTCATTGTAAGGAGGTTTGATGTAGTTTCTTTTACTTTTTTCTCCTCCTTTCTTTGTTCAAGTAAAAGTTTTTGTGGTCCAGAAAAGGTAGCTGTCATTCAAGCAGGGTTTTGTGGGGAAAGAAGTGTGTATATGTGTGCAGAAGAGGGGAAAAAAAAGTCCTGGGGCTAACCAGGCTGGTACAAATTCACTCTGAGTTCCAAAGTTTTAGTACATCCAAAAAGGAGGTGTCCTTGACTCGGTCATCGCTCTCTCTCTCTCTCCTCTGTTTTCTGAAGCAGCCTCAGTGGTCCAGATGTTGAGTTTGCACTCAGTGGTGGGTAGCAAATAATCAACAGCTCAACAAAACCTGAAAAGCACAGAAGAAAAAGGGACTGTTTGAGTAAAGGAATGTGTGGAGAAACAACACAAGGTTTCACGTTTTGCACCTTGATGCATTGATGCTTGCACTTTTCCACAGGATAGCGACTGGCTCGAGCTTTTCTGCAGATCGCTTAGGTTCCTAGAAGTATCCCACGAAAACTGCACTTTGATACCAGCAGCTGTGGGGTTTGAAGGTGTGTCTAGCTTTGCTGTTCATTTGTGCACTTGCTTGGATCTGATTTAGATAATTGAATGAGACAGCTAGGTCGCTTGCCGTTGAACTTTCATTACACATTTCTACATTATACTGGAAAACAAGAAAAATGACAGGGAGATATTTGCTTTGATTTTTAAATTAATTTTTCTTTGGAAGCAATGACGTCACCAGTGTTGTGTGTTCCTTCTCTGTTGATTCTTGCTGTATTTACATGCAGATGGAGCGGTGCAGAATACTTAACAGGACACCTGCCTCTCTAAAGCGTCTTAGCCAGCACTAAGACTCTAAGTCCTGGTGTGGATAAACAAAGATCATTTTGCTGAGACAATTTTCAAAACAAATCAGTGCTCATCCTGCAGTGAATTAATCTGGCTTCCTGGCTGCAGCTCCGTTGTTATCTTCTATGCGATGAAACAAATTTTTCGTTTCTATTAAAAAACAAACTGTTCAATCCTGTTTTTGAAATGGTGAAGGGATTCTAATCGAGACACACCTTACCGTGTCATTAGATGTTAAATAAGAGTACTCTAGCTTGCTGTTGTGACAACAGTGTGTTATTATTCTATTTTATTCTATTTTTATTTTTTTAGATGATAATACCAATAGTAAAGCTGGTGATGCAAGTCGAAAAGCAGCTCGCTAATCAGTTGAGAGCGTAATGATGCTCTGGGAAAAAAAAAAAAGGAAATCAGAAGATGTTTTCTCCAACATTCAGTTAAAAAAAATCATTTTACATATCAAAAGGAGTGGCGGCACACATTTGATGACAAATTCATATGAGATTGCTCTTCCACCTGCAGTGATTTGCCTCAGGACACTGTCTGGTATGGTTCAGTTAGTTTGTGAGTGGGTGATAAGTTGCCCTTGAATGAAGTCATCAGTAGTGAATGAACGACACAGCCTAAACTCTCCATCACACAGATGAAGGGAGGAGACAAAGAGGAACAGCACAATTACCTGCCTGAGGGGTAATAAATGCCTCTCCCTTGGAAGCACTTTCTTCCCTGTGCAACATGCTGAACCATTTACCAATTATCTTTTACCTACGAGGTAACATACAGGGTCATTTACTGTAAAGTCGTTCTGCAAATAGAGGAGGCTACTTTTTTCGGCCAGCCTGGAAGCTGACATCAAAACAAGGTTTCACTTTCAGTATAGATAGACACGTCTTATGGTTCACAATTACATTTAACATCTTATATTCTCAATATGTTTTAACTAGTCTGTTTGCCCCCTGTGTGTGTGGGACATTTCCGTTAGCGCTGTGCATCACAGCACTCTTGTTTTCAGCGAATGATGCACGGAGCTAAGAGTGTTTTCTGCCGAAGAAGGCGATGTGAGCGACACTTGTTTGCCCGAGAACACACGGCGCTCTGGCGAGAGTGTTGTTAGGTGTGTGTGCTGCACGTGAGGCACTGTAACACAGCTGTCAGCAGGTTAAAGCTGCAGGAGTTTTAGACAATGCAGTCGCTGCTGAAATTCCCTGAAATGTCACGTTTCACTCTCAGCTTGTCTTGGGAAATATCTGCATGTGACTAATGATAACAAAAAAAAAATCATTATTGTCATCTTCAATAAAGGGTAAGACAACAGCTGCAAAATTTCCTCTTGTTCTTTAGCAGGAAAAACGATTTAATCATTTCACTGTTCAATGAAAACATGAGCATGCTCAGTGAGTGCTTTCATGCACAACAGTGAACACAATTGGGGATTAAAAAGAAGAGTTTCTCAACGAGGCTGAATCAGAGGATCACAAGATACTGAAAAAGCTGAAAACTGATGTTGATGCTTCTGCCTTAAAAGCATTTTGTGTAGTGGAAATCATTACTACTGTACAAGTATACCAGTGCATCATCCAAAAAGGTTTTGACTATCATGTAAAGATAAAAAACAAACAAAACATTTTTAACATGAAGAGGAATAGTCCTGAATCAAAATCTCTAATTGTCCTGCATGGATGCTGCATTCTCTGAGGTAAATAGTAGAAGTGTAAAAGCATCTCAGATGGTATAGGTTTGTAAATGCTTTTGTACATCACATGGATAAC